CCAGAGTCCAAGGAAAAAACGGCCTTCTCCACTCCGTACGGGTTGTACCAATTCGTCACACTTCCGTTCGGGTTGTTCGGGGCCCCAGCCACGTTTCAGCGCCTCATGGACCGGGTGCTGCGGCCGCATGCTGCATATGCTGCCGCCTACCTGGATGATGTGATCATCCACAGAAACACCTGGGCGGAGCATATGCGGCAGGTGGCTGCGGTGCTCGAGTCCCTGAGGCAGGCGGGGCTCACGGCCAACCCGAAGAAGTGTGCGGTTGGACGGAGGGAGGTACGGTATCTGGGGTCTCCCCTTGTCTCCCCTTTACACTGCAGACTGATGCGTCGGGCAGAGGGTTTGGGGCGGTTCTGTCCCAGCAGGTGCAGGGTGTCGACCGCCCTGTACTGTACATCAGCCGGAAACTCTCTGACAGGGAGGCCAGGTACAGTACGGTGGAGAGGGAGTGCCTGGCCATCCGGTGGGCGGTCGATGCTCTGCGGTACTACGTGCTGGGGCGCTCATTCACCCTCTGCTCGGACCACGCTCCCCTCCAGTGGCTCCACCGCATGAAGGATGCCAACGCGCGGATCACCCGTTGGTATCTGGCTTTACAGCCTTTTAAGTTCAGGGTGGTCCATAGGCCGGGGACGCAGATGGTCGTGGCCGACTTCCTCTCCCGTTCCCATGGGGAGGGGGGGGAGTGGGCTAGGCCGGACGGCTCCCCGGCCTAAGTCAGGCGGTGGAGGTATGTGGAGGGGGCGTGGCGCTCAGCTGCAGGGGGGAGGGGTGGAGGAGGCTCAGGTGAGCAGTGCCAGGGGAGAGTGATTAAGCACACCTGGAACCGGTTGGCTAATCACTCTCCCCTCTGTAAAAAGAGTAGCGTGCTGGACCTGGAAAGGACTGGTTTTGAGAGAGAGCTGGAGCGGGACACACGCCACCAGCTCGGAGACACGTGCCACAGGAAAACTGCCTTCAAACAGAGAGCCCAAGCCGGGCGGGTGCGTGAGTGTGTGTGCGTGTGAGAGAGTGTGTGTGCGGGTGGCACACACGCTCATAATAAACCTGTTACCAACAAATCTTGGTCTCTAAAAGACTCTGTCGGGGCACCCACGGTGACACGACTGTCACAATTTGGCGCCCAACGTGGGGCCTCGACAGGAGTGCAGAGGGAAAAATGACGGATCCGCAGCAGCCCGTAATGGTGCTGGCAAGGATGATGGTGGAGATGGCCGCTACGGGCGCTGCTTTCCACCCACAGGGGGTTCCTCAGGTGACAGGGCTGGCGTGCTGGAGGTGTGGACGGCCCGGTCACTTTCGCCGGGAGTGCCCACTGATGGAGGTGGGCCAGGTGATCCGGGTGGTCGGCCCTCCAGCACCCTCCCCCGGTCCAAGAGGGACGTACAGTGTTCCG